ACACACACACACACACACACACACACACACACACACACTTATTCAAACTTGATTCTGCACAATGTTCAAAAAAACACAAAGAAAATACATTTTTTGAATTATGGTTGATTACAACACTACAAAAACTACGACACCACCAGACTTTAACAACATGTTTAACCACATGAGTGGTTGGTGCTCAGGATCTGCAGCAAACAGGCCAAAAAACCAACATTTCAAACAGTGATCCGCGCTAACGCTCGACCCTCAGAGCTTCTGCACCAGTGGACAAACTCTGAAACCTGGTTTGATATGATAAACTAAGTGTGATTTCTCTGACTAGAGCTAATTTCAATCACTACGACAACAGAGATAACATTCACGACAAAAACAACAGTGTCTGACCTCGGTAAAGTTTGTTGAAGGCCGGTGTGTCGAACGGCTGCTGCAGGTGAGAGAAGTCAGGTCGAGGTTCACCACTGAAACAAAGTGAATACAGAACGTCACCAACACCTGCTGTCAAATCTCTCTTACTTTTCACTATCGCTGTTTGTAGTAATTTCTGTAACTAAGCAACCAACAGCAGAGCAGACAATCTACTTCCTGTTTACACCGCACGACCAGTGTACATGAACATGTGACGTGAGTTTTCAGGTGTGTTAGCGTGGCGGAGATTAATATTGAAATGGAGTAAAACAGTCGATGCTTCGTTAATAGAAGGTTGTCAGTGTGAATGCAGAGTCTGAGCGTTGTCTTACTTGTTGGGAACTTTAATGAAGATCTCTCTCACCCACTGCTCCAGAGTGTCCAGAGTCTCTGCACAATAAAAACACCTGTTAATAATCCGTTATATCTATATACTTATTATTATCATAAGTTGAATATTAACGTAAACATAACAATGCTAATATCCATGGTTGTTAGCATGTTAGCATTAGCTCTGGGCTCCACAGATTACTCAGAAGTATTTTTAATTGTAATATATATAGTTTAGGATTTGTATAAGCCATCAACAACTATCAACCTACAACTTGGAAAGCTTTGTACCTCTGGACTGAACAGTGAGCGTCATGTAATGAGCAGAGTAATATCTCCTCCAGAAGTCTCTCAGCCGCTGGTACGTGTTGATCTGTTTCTCTCTGGGCTTCAGTTTTAATGTCTGAGCGTTACCTGATGGGAACAACAACCACAACAGTTTCTGGTCATTCTGCACAAAACACATGTTTAAGTCTTCTCTACTTCCAGATGTGATGGTTGAGCTGCGGTGAACAATGAGTCAGCAAGAAACAGTTTTCACTCAAATCTAGTTATAAACGAGGGAACGTCCAAAATAACGTGAACTTATCACAGACGACAACCGCGCGAAAGAGTTCAACTTTGTGTGTGTGTGTGTGTGTGTGTCTGTGTGTGTGTGTGTGT